AACAGCTACGCGATTTCGGGGCTAAAACAAATGAAGGAGGGAGCAGAGCAGGAAACAGACCAGGGAAGAAAGGAGGGATCGAGAATCCGCCAGCCCCCTTGTGGGGCCACCAGGCTGCAGGCCCGTGATTCGCAGTTTCCTGTACCAGTTGTAGTTTGTAGTTTCCAGTGTTACAGTTCTGCTTCTTGCTGGTTACTGTAACTAGTTGATTGACCGCGCGAGGGGAGGGAGGCCCAAACCAGATTTTTAGCACCACCTGGGCGCGTTGTCTGAATTGCTGGGGGAGCTCAAAATCGACACCCCTCACGCAGATCCGCGGGGTCAGGGTGCAATCTACCTGGCGACGTCGTTAACCAACCCCTGCGCAAACGCGGGGCGCAAATAGTTTAGGACACTTTATAAGGGGGGCGATGACGGAGCGAGGGTTACATATGTCTGCAGACGGAATTCGGGAGACTCGCAGGACACTGGCTACAGGAAAAGGGTTTGAAAAAACTGATGATTTACAATTCCTGAGCACTCCTAGCCACTTCGAAAACGGGATCACAGCAGGCCTCGAAAGTGGCGACAGGTTCACAGATCGCAGCCCCGCAGGGACGGCGAGGTCTCATTTGAATCTGCCCGTGGCCCTCACTGTGCTGGGCCCCCCAGCAGGCCTCGAAAATGGCGGCAGTTTCGCAGATCGCAGCCCCCCAGGGATGGCGAGGTCTAATTTGAATCCGCGCGTGGCCCTCACTGTGCTGGGCCCCCCAGCAGGCCTCGAAAATGGCGACAGTTTCGCAGATCGCAGCCCCCCAGGGATGGCGAGGTCTAATTTGAATCTGCGCGTGGCCCTCACTGTGCTGGGCCCCCCCAGCAGGCCTCGAAAATGGCGACAGTTTCGCAGATCGCAGCCCCCCAGGGATGGCGAGGTCTAATTTGAATCCGCGCGTGGCCCTCACTGTGCTGGGCCCCCCAGCAGGCCTCGAAAATGGCGACAGTTTCGCAGATCGCAGCCCCCCAGGGATGGCGAGGTCTAATTTGAATCCGCGCGTGGCCCTCACTGTGCTGGGCCCCCCAGCAGGCCTCGAAAATGGCGACAGTTTCGCAGATCGCAGCCCCCCAGGGATGGCGAGGTCTAATTTGAATCTGCCCGTGGCCCTCACTGTGCTGGGCCCCCCAGCAGGCCTCGAAAATGGCGACAGTTTCGCAGATCGCAGCCCCCCAGGGATGGCGATGTCTAAATTGAATCCGCGGCGATTGCCCTCACTGTGCTGGGCCCCCCAGCAGGCCTCGAAAATGGCGACAGTTTCGCAGATCGCAGCCCCCCAGGGATGGCGAGGTCTAATTTAATCGCCCGTGGCCCTCACTGTGCTGGGGCCCCCAGCAGGCCTCGAAAATGGCGACAGTTTCGCAGATCGCAGCCCCCCAGGGATGGCGAGGTCTAATTTGAATCCGCGCGTGGCCCTCACTGTGCTGGGCCCCCCAGCAGGCCTCGAAAATGGCGACAGTTTCGCAGATCGCAGCCCCCCAGGGATGGCGAGGTCTAATTTGAATCCGCGCGTGGCCCTCACTGTGCTGGGCCCCCCAGCAGGCCTAGAAAATGGCGACAGTTTCGCAGATCGCAGCCCCCCAGGGATGGCGAGGTTCTTATATCCCACCAGCCCTCTGGGCGTAGGTGGTCTAGAGCAGATCCTCTTCCACCCCTCCCTCTTCCCCCTTGGGGAGGGGTTTACCCCTCCCCCTACCCCCTCCCCTGGACCTGGACGGGGGGGGCCGCGGGTAGTTAGAGCGTCCAAGATGGCCCAAGACGGCTCCAAGAGCGCCTCAGAGAACCCAAGATGAGCTCCAAGATGGCTCAAGATAGCGCAAGATCGCTCACGATGGCTCCTAAGATGGTTCCAAGAAGCCCAAAGACGGCCCCAAGATAACTCCAAGTGGCCAAACAGCTCCCCAAGGAGGCCCCGAAGAGGCCAAAATCGTCCCAAAACCTAAGGAAAATCAATGATTTTTGCTTTCTCGCCTTTTCGCTTCCGATGGCCATCCGAGGCCTGGAGATGGCTCCAAGATGGCCCAAGAGGGCCCCAAGAGAGCCCCAAAAGAGCCCCAAGACGGCCCCAAGAGCGCCCAAGAGCACTCCAAGAGCGTTCCAAGAGGGGTCCAAGAGGCGATTTTAGGGGCTTCCGAGGGGGGGCGCTAATTAAACCCCCCCTCTTGTTTGATCGACTCCCTCCAAGATGGCCCCAAAAGCGCCCCGAAGGCTCCCCAGAGCGCCTCAAGAGGGTCCCAAGAGGCGCCCAAGATGCCCCAAGGCGCCCAAAAAGCCCTCCAAGAGGCCCTCAAAAGACCCCCAAGAAGCTCCTTCCCCTCCTCCTCCTCCTCTCCGATTCTTCCTCCTTCTCCGTCCTCCTCCTCCTCCTCCTCCTCCTCCTCTTCCCCCTCCTCCTCCTCCTCCTCCTCCTCCGACGACGACGACGACGACGACTCCTCTTCCATCCTCCCCCTCTCGGGGTCTGTGACAGCTTCCCCCGCCCTTTGTTATTCTGCATGCTCCCCGACTTCCCTGATCACCTCAACTCCCCTGAGCATCGTTTCTGGATGGGCTGGTGGGGATACGCGAAGCGTCAACAATTTGAATCCGCGCGTGGCCCTCACCGTGCTGGGCCCCCCAGCAGGCCTCGAAAATGGCGACAGTTTCGCAGATCGCAGCCCCCCGCAGGCAAGACAGGAAAAGGCGGGAGGCGGGAGAAGGGACGCGACCACACTGCTTTATTCAAAACGAATACCCAACCAAGGAGGGTTGGGAAAAACACAAGGGATTTGACACATTTCTGAAATTCGGTGCCACCCCTCACGCAGATCCGCGGGGTCAGGGTCCAAAAACACAGGGGATTTGCCACATTTCTGAAATTCGGTGCCACCCCTCACGCAGATCCGCGGGGTCAGGGTCCAAAAACACAAGAAATTTGCCACATTTCTGAAATTCGGTGCCACCCCTCAAGCAGATCCGCGGGGTTACGGTCCAAAAACACAAGGGATTTGCCACTTTTCTGAAATCCGGTGCCACCCCTCACGCAGATCCGCGGGGTCAGGGTCCAAAAACACAAGGGATTTGCCACATTTCTGAAATTCGATGCCACCCCTCACGCAGATCCGCGGGGTCAGGGTCCAAAACCTGCTCTTCCATAGCCCATTCTCCGAGAGAGGGGGCCGGCGGCAGGGGGCGAAGCCCTTACGGATCAAAGTGCTGAGCGTCATTATGCCTCCAGGGACCGCTTCGGCGCTCTGGGACCATCGGCCGCGCTGCTGTGTGCAGGCACCTGAGATGGGCTCCTCATCTGAAGGGTTTTTTTTTATTGCGCAAGGAATTGCAGTCTCAAATTATCACGGGTAAATGCATGCGTGTGGGCGAGAGCACCATACGGGAAAGATCACAGACCACTGTACAACAGAACGCCTAGAGTTGCCCTCCGCACATCACATCAGTGAGAGCCACCTCCGTCGGCGTTCCGTCGCCCGGCTAGTCCAGCCCAGCGCATTATGCTGCATCCTCGGCGGACCCTGTCTAAAGCATCACGCTACGATCTGGATCGAACCTCTCGCTATCCGCGTCGGATGCCAGAAAAAAAAACGCCGTCTACAAGACAGACATACATTCAGACAAGGCCCCCCAAACTTGTAATGGATAGGACAGGGCTCCAGCCAACCGAGGACTGTCCTTCGTTGCCCCCCGCCCCGAGTGAGAAAGAGAGGGAAAGAAAGACAGATGTAGAGAAAGAGAAGGAGAGGGAGAGAGAGAGAGAGACTGAGAGAGAGGAGAGAGAGAGACAGAGAAAAAGACAGAGACAGAGAGAAAGAGAGAGAGAAAGAGAGAGAGAGAAAGACAACAAAAAAAACAAGAGAGAGAGAGGGGGAGAGGCGGGAAGATCGTAACGACTCGGGCCCCACGCACTTCGTGCGCTTACTGCTTCGCACGGTGATCCGGGATGCTCCTCGAAGGCCGTCGCGGAGGACAGAATGCACACGCCCGAGCGATGCCACGACTAGAGGGCGCACGGCACTCCAGAAGACCCGGACCCGAGCGCCGCGCAGCACGGGCGCACTGGGGCTCCCGCTCGCGAGGGGGCCGCGGGAGAGCCGACACACGCGGCGGGGCGCCCCCTGCGTGGGCCCCGCCGCGAGGAAAACCCCCTCCAGGGGGGGGGGGAGGGCGCAGCCCTGCCAGCCAGGCAGGCGCTGTGGAGAGCGCGCGAGGGGGTCCGACAAAGCAGCAACGCAGGGGCCCCACGCCTCGGAGGTGCCCCAGGCCCGAGGGGGTCGGGGGAGGGGAGGGGGGGGGGGGGGGGGCGCCCCCCCGAAGGAAGAGAGTGCCGAGGGGGGAGGGGCACAGGGACGCGGCGGGGGGGGAGGGGGGGAAAGTGAAAGGCAAGGAGGGAAAGGCAAGGGGGGGGGAAGGGAAAAGACAAGGAGGAAAAGGCAAGGAGGGAAGGCCAGGGGGGAATAGAGGGGCCAGAGGGGGAGGACATCCTACCGCCCAGGGCGTGGAGCCCCAGGTGAGGGGCGGGTGCCCGGAGGAAGCTGGGACCCAGCGGCCTGAGCGGCCGTGGCGCGTGGGCAGCCAGCGGGCTGGTGCTCCTCCGACGGAGGCGGCGGACCGCGCGCCGTCCGTGGCAGCCGTCGGTCTCGCCGCCCTGACCTCTCACGGCTCTGCAAGGCCTCCGCTCCGCTGACCCGTCCTGGAGTGCGTCGTCGTCGTCGTCGTCGTCGTCACCGCCGCCGCCGTCGTCGTCGTCGTCGAGGTGGAGTTCTCCGAGGGTTTGGGGAGGTTCTGGAAAATTTTCGGGCCCCAGGGTGCCCTCCAGCGGCGACGACCGAGGCGACGACGGGGACGGCGACGGTCACGACGGCGAAGACGACGACGACGACGACGGCGAAGACGACGACGGCGAAGACGACGACGACGACGACGACGACGACGACGACGACGACGACGACAGACACGACGGAGACGACGATGCGAGCCTCTGTGACCGCCAGGCCGTCGAGGGCAGCTGCGCCCGCCGCGGGGAGGCGGATCACATACACCTCGGGACGGCCGTGACAGGCGCCGGGCTCGCAGGGCAGCCAGGCACCCTCACAGACCCCAAAAGCGTGGTGCCAGCGTGGACCCAAAAGAGCGATGTGGACCCAGAAGAGCGATGCGGCGTATGCGACAGGCCGCAGGGGGGCCCTAGAAGGGGATGCCATAGAAGGCCACAGGAGGCCGCGCGCGCCCGCGGACCGACCTGATAACCAAGCCATGGGAGGACACAGAGTCGATTGGAGGTCAGCAGCCACGGCCCGACCCGGCAGTCAGGCCATAGAAGGACACAGGAGGCCACGCACCCAAGGCACCCGATGGCCCGACCCGGCGACCAGGACGTAAGAGGCCAAGCACATGGGAGGCCATGGCAGGCCATGGGAGGAGGACAAGCACCCACCCACTGCCGAAATCGGGAAACAGGACGAGTTCCTGAGGAGGTGATGCAAGCGCGTGGACCGCAAACAGTGGTTTCGTGCGACGAGTGTGATCCAATGCATACGAAAGGCCATGAGAGGCCATAGGAGGCCGTGGAAAGCCACGCACTCACAGCCCGACCAGGCAAGCCAAGCAGGCCATAGGAGGCCAACAGTGGCCGTGGGAGGACCAAGCATCCACAGCCAGACTCGGCAACCAGGCCATAGGAGGCCATAGGAGGCCGTAGGAGGTCATAGGATAGGAGGCCACAGGAAGCCATAGGAGGCCACAGGAGGCTACAGGAGGCCATAGGAACCCACTTACTCATGGCCCGACCCAGCAAGAAGGCCAGACTCATCTACTGGTCCAAACCGGGCGTTTCGCTCAGAGGTCCCGACGATCTGAGCGCCAACGTGCCTGTTGAGTTCCCCCTGGTGGCTCCCCTGTGGGAAGGCCCAAAGACCATGGCTGCTACATCGCAGTAATCATGGGGATCTGAGAAGAGTGACTCGTCTGCTGGGTCCAAATGGGCGGTTCGCCTGAGAGGTCCCGACAATCTGAGCGCGAACGGGCCCATGCAATACCCCCTGGCAGGTCCCCCTTTCGATGCCCTAATACGGTTACAGCGACATCGTGGTGACCATGAGCAAGCCTGAGTACGAGTGATCCTGAGTATGATTGAATCTGAGTATGTCGGAGTTCGAGTGAGGCTGAGTGGTTCTGAGCATGGTTGAGTGTAAATGTGGGTCAGTCTGGGGATGCGTAACTCTGAGAATGAGGGCGTCAGAGTTGAGATGAGTCAGTGTGATAATGAGTGCGTATGGATATGGTGGAGCCTGCTTATGACTGAGTCTGAGTATGAGTGACTCTGAATGCGAGGCAGTCTGGGAATGAAGGAGCGTGTGTTAATGAGTCTGACTGTCTGAGTCATTCCGAACAAGAGGTAGAGAGCGGAAGCGGGAGGGTGAGGGAGAGAGAGAGAGAGACAGAGAAAGAGAGAGAGAGAGAGAGAAAAAAAAAGAGAGAGAGAGAGAGAGAGAACGAGGCGGAGGGGTCACACTCATAGCGATGACCGCATGCTCAGAAAGCGGGGAATCCGAACTGAAAAATGCAAACATCGCTTGAGGATTGACAAGCAAAACAATATAAAAATCCCATGCAGGGGCTCATGATCCCAGAGACCTCTAGAAAGATAGAGAAATAATATGTAACGTGCCACGCTGCTCCAACAAAACCATACGTAACCAAGATACAGCTGCAACGAGAGACGGATGGTGCTGCTCAATAGCCCAGTGTAATGCATGACGCCTAAAATATCCGCGGGCCCCTTGGGTCCAGTTCCAGTTCCCGGTTCCCTTCGCCCGCGAGGGCGAAGTGTTCCAGTTCCCCGGTTCCCTTCAACAGCCCCAGTTCGAAATGATAGACCTTCTTGCTTCTGGCTCCAATATTGTAATGTTTGTAGAACGCGCGAGGACTCCAGAAAGGGGTTCTCCGAGTCTCTGGAAGGAGGGGCTGCGACACGTAAAGATACCACAGGTTCGCACTCCAGAGGCAACAATGATTCGTAAATTATTACTACGCGCTCCCGAAACCACAACCCCTCGTAAATCACAACGCGTTCGCAGTCCCGAGGCCACAATCCCCCATCGGCCACCGTGCGTGCACGGAGTGGGCATGTTAGAATGCTCGTCTGTTGTCTTGGAAGCTGTTTCAGTGTTATCTTCCCTCCAACCCACACCCCCTGGCACGCGCGTCGTCGAGAAATCACCCCCTCAGAAGTTACTATCCGGCGTCTTTTCGGACTCTAGACGGCCAAGATGGCCTCCAGGACGGCTTCTCAGACAGCCAGGACGACACCAAAACGGCTTCAGATGGCGCAAGACGGCTCAAGAGACTCTGAAGACGGCCTCAAGGCGGCCCCAGATGCCCCCGAGACGGCCCAAGAGGGCTGCAAGCGGCCCCCCAGGAGAGCCAGAGGAGGCCAAAATCACTGACGCCCCTTAGGCGTTTTAAAGGGTTTGAGGTTCTCGTCTGCTTGAGTTTCCGACCGCACAAGACGGCCCAAGGGGCTTCCATGACAGCTCCAAGACAGCCCATGAGGCCCCCGCGATGGCCCCGAGTCGGCCCAAGAGCACCCCAAGATCGCCCAAGAGGCTCCCAAGAGGGCCTAAAGACGGCCCTCAAGCGCTCCAAGAGGGCACAAGACGGCCAGAGAGGCCCTCAAGACGGCCTCTGGCGGCGTCAGACAAGCCAATGGCCTTCCTAAGACTGCCCAAGAGGTCCCAAGAGGCCCCAAGACGGCCTCAAGAGGTCCCCAAGATGCCCCCAAGAGGCCCCCTGGGAGGCTCCCAGGAGGCCCCTGGGGGGCCCAAGAGGGCCCCAAGAAGTCTTCCCCTCATCGTCCTCATGTTCTCCCTCTCCTCATCCTCCTCTTCCTCCGCCTCCTCCTCCGCCTCCTCCTCCTCCTCATCCTGCTCCCTACCGCGCGGACGAAGACGACGTCGGGATCACGACCGTCCCCAGTTCAGACAACTCGCTGAACTGCCGCGGCGTGTGAACTCGACCTCCTTCCTACCGCGCGGACGAAGACGAGGTCGAGCTTACGACCCGTCCTTATCAGACCAATCGTCGCGTCCTACACTCGGTCTCCTTCCTGCAGCGCTGTTGCACAGGCACAGTAGCGGGGCTTGCCGCAGGCAGCTGGATAAATTGCAACGAGGTGGCGCTCCCGAAATCACAACCTCCGGTAAACCACTCCGAAGCCGAATTCGCGAAGTCACAATCCCGTGTAAAGTGCCCCGCGTTCGCGCTCCCCCAACCCTTTGTAAATCCCACCAGCCATTTGGGCGACAGGTGGTGTAAGGGTAATCTTTTTTTTCTTGCACAACCCCTCTTCACTTCGGAGAGGGGAACCCTCCCCCTCCCTTCCCTTGGGTTTTTTGGAAAGGCTTCGCGAGGTGTTGGAGGCTCCTTCTTCGGCGAGTGGGAGGGCCAATTTTAGACACTCCTCACGAGGATCGTAGCCCCCGAGTGGGGAACACACATCGAGGACCCCCATATTTTAACCGACCGCCTCCAAGATGGCCCCAAGAGGCATTCCAAAGCTCCCAAGAGAGACCCCCCAGAGGGTCCTTCAAGAGGCCCCCGAGAGGCCTCCAAGAGGGCCCCGAGCGGCCTCAGATGACCTCCAAGATGGCTCAAGATAGCCCAAGCAGGCTCAAGATGGCTCCCAAGACGCTCCAAGAGGCCCCAAGACCACTCCAAGACGGCTCGAGATGGCCACGGAGCCTCCCCAGGAGGCCGCCAAGAAGCAAAAATAATCCTCCTCCTCCTCCTCCTCCTCCTCCTCCTCCTCTCCTCCTCCTCCTCCTCCTCTCCTCCTCCTCCTCCTCCTCCTCCTCCTCCTCCTCTCCTCCTCCTCCCTCTTCCTCCTCCTCCTCCTCCTCCTCCTCCTCCTCCCCCTCTTCGCCGCCCCCCCCCACGCGGGCCTCGAGATGGCCCCAACACGCCGTCCAGGCCGGCCTCCCTCGCTGTTTGACTATGCGTGTCCCCTCCTCTCCCCCCGTCAGCTCTCATGGGCATCGTTTCTGGATGGGCTGGCGGGGATACTTTTTGGTACGCGAGCTCGCGAAGCAGGTCGAAAGCCAGGCAGGCTAGGGCGGGCCGCGCCGAAGCAACAGGGAAAGACAGTGCTGAGCAATGTGCGGCTCAGACGCGGGCTCAGCGTCCAACAGGACGTAAGAACTGGCAGACCGGCACGATGACCATGACTAGGAGGAAGTCCGAGTGCGCCACACTTACCCAAGACGGCGGTGACCATGAGAAGAAAGGAAGCGGCCAAACCAGGCTCCCCAGGTCTGGCGAGGGTACGCGAGGCGTCAAGAATTGCAAATGTCCATCTTCGAAACCACATCACATTGCAAATCACATCACATAACGGCTACCGAAGCCACAATCCCGCACAAATTACCGCACTGTCGCCGTCCCGAGGCCACAATCTGTCGTAAACTACCGAGAGCTAACTTACCCGAAGCAACAACCCCTCCGAAGTTGCCCCACGTTCGCGCTCTCGAAGCATCAACCCTTCGTGAATTACACTGGCATCGCGCTCCTGCGGCAACAATCCCTCGCAAATTACAACGAAATCGTGCTCTCGAGGCCACAAGCCCAGTAACTTTGGACACCATCGCGCTCCCGATGCCACAGCCCCTTGTAAAGCATATCGCGCTCGCGCTCCCAAGGCCACAATCCTTTTATTAAAAAAACGACAAGATCGTGGCCCCGACTATCGAAGCCAAAATCCATAGTAAACAACACAACCTGTGATGCCACGGCGGCGAGCCTTCGTGAATACGTCACCGTGCCCCCATGGCACGTTGGGGCGTGCTAGAATGCCAAGTGCTGTCCGGAGTGGTGTTTGTGATCTTCTGAACCACCACCCCTCTCATCACGCTGCCCGCATGACCCCCCCCCTCTCAAGGCCACAAGCCATGACAACATGCAACAGGTTTGCTCTCCCGATGCCACCAGCCCTCGTAAAAAAAAATGTTTTAAACAAAAAAAACTGGCGAAGGACTCAACCATCTTC